CCCACCTCCCCAGCCTGTCCAGGTCTCTCTGAATGGCAGCACAGCCTTCTGTGGAGGGCCAGTGAGAGGGATCTTGCCCAGCTCTTGCTTTCCCCCTGGGCCCTGCAGACCTTGCAGATCCAGGCACTGCTGCCTGGCCAGCTGGCCCAGGGGTGCAGCAGCCAGCAGGGAGGCTCTGCTGGGCTTCCAGGGGATTTTCCCACCCCTGCTCTGCTGACCTCAGGTTTGGCCCAGGCCAAGGCAACTTCGCTCCCTGGGTGGAAGAAGAACAAGCTCCCCAAGGGCAGCTGGTGTGGGCACTTTGGTGCCTACCTGGAGCTGTCTTGCCCTGCATGACCTCGTCGGTGGCTCGAGCGACGAACACGATCCCTTCATCATCCTCTCTCTCCGTGTCCGAGCTCTCGCTCTCCTCCTCCTCTGAGCTGACCAACACCAGGACAGGAGCTACAGCCAGATGGAGGCAGTTGGTTGGGAGGATGGGGCCCTCTGTGGGGCAAGGACTGACCCCGTGGAAGGAGGGCTTGGTGCTGGCACAACTGTGGTGCCACCAAGCTGGCAGCAGAGCAGGCTGCTCCATCCCATCCCATCCCACCAGGTCCCCTCAGCAGGTCCTGCAAACCTCACCAGCCTTACCAGCCTCCTGCCAGGGGACATGTCTGTGTGTCTTCCCATTGGGTGTATCACTGCTCAGAGAGGTGTTCTTCTGCAAAGGAAGAGGGACTGGCTGGGACCTGCCCCGTGCAAAGCCCTAACCCCCACCCAGGTGGCCCTGCAAGCCAAGGCAGCCCTGGGGACACAGATTCCCACCCTGGCTAGATGGCAGCCAGCAGGCAGTGCCTCCTAGTCCTTAGGTGTTGCATCTTCATGGCCCTACAGCTGAGCTGCAATGCCTTCAAAAAGCCTCCAAGGGAGAGAAGACACCTAAAGGCCAGTTTAAGCTGCAGTGCCACGTGTCTAAGCCTGGACCTGCACCAAAGTTCAGGCTACTTTGTGCTGGGTGCTCTTGGAAAGCAAATGTGGGGTTTCTCCAGGGCTTGGGACCACGTTCATAGACTGGTTTGGGCTGGAAGGGACCTTAAAGATCATCCAGTCCCACCCCCCTGCATGGGCAGGGACACCTCCCACCAGCCCAGGTTGCTCCAAGCCCCATCCAACCTGCCCTTCAACACTGCCAGGGATGGGGCAGCCACAGCTTCCCTGGGCAACCTGGGCCAGGCTCTCACCACCCTCACACCAAACATTTTCCTCCTCATGTCTCACCTCAATCTCCCTCTTCCAGTTTTAATCCCTTCCCCCTTGTCCTCTCCCTCCCTGCCCCTGTCCCAAGTCCCTCCCCAGCTTTCCTGGAGCCCCTTCAGGCACTGGAAGGTCCTCTAAGGTCTCCCCAGAGAAGCTTTGCCCAGGGAAGAACCATACCATGGCAGTGCTGGTGTGCTGGGGACACATGGACATGTGAGATGAGCTGCTCTCCCCACTGGCCCTGGAGCTGCTGCCACCCTGCAGCACCTTGACCCCCAGAGGACCTCCCTGTCTGCAGCTCAGCGGGGATGGGGAGGGCGGTTGGGGCCCACACTTGCCTTTTTCCTGCCCTTCTCCTTCAGCCTGGCCTTGCTCTTGGAGGAGCACATGTTGTGCTTGGTGGACTTGAAGGTCTCCAGCCTCCTCTTCATGTTCTGCCGGAAGATCTCCTTATCCTGCCGCTCTTGCTTATCTGGAGAGATGAAGTGACGGCTGTAGCTGGCCTTGTACTGGCCGGGGGAGAGGCAGAAGAGACGGAGACGGGTGAGCAGCTGTCCCCAGGGAGCACCCAGCACCCCCCTGCCCACCCGCTGGGGTGCTCACCCGCCGGCGCGGCTTGTAGAGGCTCCCGCGCAGGACGTGGTGCATGGCCGCGTCCTCCTTGTCCCGCCGGCTCCGCACCGTGTCGATCACCTGCAGGTCCAGGCAGGCCCCGCTCCCGCTCTCCCTCCTGTTGTGGGGAGAAGTCACAGAGGGTTGGGAGAAACCTCTGCAGAGCTTCTAGTGAGACTCGTTTCTAGAGAGAGGCGCCGCGGTGAGGTGGGATCGCGGCTCCCGGCAGTGGGAGGAGGGGGCTCGGGGTGAGGGGGGGTCAGAGGAGCACAGGGTGGTCAGGGTTGGGAGGGACCACTGGAGATCATCCAGTGCAACCTCCCTGCTAGGCTGAATTAGTCTGCTTAGGCTTCCTACCTCTTCTTGGAGTAACAGGCACCACAGGTATTTGCTCATCTTGAGCATTTTCTGCTGTTTGAAGACTAGAAGTCTCAGATGTGTCTTTTGTACGCCTGGTACTTCTCCTAGGAGACTGTGCAAACAGAACTGGTTTGTCTTTCTTCAGTAGTTGCTCCTCATCTGCCAATGGAATACTTAGATTTCTACTCAGTTGTCCCCTTGTGCGTGTTCTAGGAGTGACAACACGCTCTACTTGATATCTACTGGTTTCATCTTCCACTTCTTCTGGCACAGTTGTTAAGGGAGTTCTTGCCTTCTGGAATCTAGTTACTTTTTTACCTATGGTTTCATGAATAGACTGTTCTACGACTTCAGATGTAAATTCTTTACTTCTTGTGTCTTTGATTACATCCAGTAAGTTCTCAGCAATAGCTACCTTAATGGGTTCAGGCACATACGGGAGTGACTCTGCAATATTTTGAGATTCCTGATCACTAGTTACAGTGCACACTGAATTTGTAACATGTTCTTGGTTTTCTGTATTTCCAAAGTTGTTCAGAGGCTTTTCCTCTGTTGTTGTGCCAGCCAGTTTAGAAGCATCTACTGCTGTAGAGTCTTCCATCTCCGCTTCACCTTCTTCTCCTTCCAAGACTAGAGTAAAATTAGGCTGCTGTGACATCCCATTGCCTGGTCCCTGAGCTGCAGGTTCATTGCCACCTTGCTGATGGATGGACACCAGGCCATGCTCCACTTGCTTTACAAACTACAGCAGCTCAAACTGATGGAGATGCTGGGCTCCTGCACCCTGGCACAACCCCCCCGTGGGGAAGGGTCTGGCTGCAGGGGCCCAGCAGGGACTGCCCAGGGCTCTGCAGAGGTGCTGGTACTCACAGGAGGTTTGTGACCGACGACTCGGACACGGAGGTGCGGCTGGGCATGGAGGGCAGGGCCAGCTTGGCAGCCGAGAGCACGTGGCCACCCTGGGAGGTGGGAGGGCAAAGCTGGCACTGGGGGTCCCCACTGCCCTGCCAGAGGGGACACAGCATGGCCACGCACGGGGCCAGCTGGCTCCTGCCAGGCCATCCCACCTCCCCATCCCCACCACCTGCCCGCTCGTCCCCCACCTGGTCAGCAAAGCTGATGGCATCACGGATGTTCAGCTTGTAGTAGACATCCCAGATCTCATCCCGCAGCCTGTAGGCAGATTTCCTCATCAGGAGCTGGCTCAGGTACTTCTTGTCAAACTGCTCCCACCTGCCAGCAGGTGAAGACATGGGTGGTTGAGCTCCCACGGGGGGAAGCACAGCCAGGGAACCCTGCCCGTGTGAGGCTGAGTGGGCAAAGCATGGCTAGAGTGGGCTGGGCACTTGGGCACTGGCACAGGCTGACCAGGGAGGTGGTGGAGTCACCATCCCTGGAGGCAGCCAAAAAACCATGCAGACTTCAGGGCATGCTCTTGTGGGCATGGTGGGTTTTTCCAGGTTGGTGGTTGGACTCGGTGACCTTAGAGGTCTTTTCCAACCATGAGGATTCTGTGGTTCTGTGACCTGTGCCCTGGGAGGGCAGGAGGGGACAGGACAGGCTGATCCTTCCTGCCCAAGGGGAAGCTGGAGACCAGCAGGTCTGCAGGAGGGATGGGAGTGGGAGCAGGAGCAGCCCTGCTGGAGCATTTCCCCTCCAGGAAACAGGCTTGTCCCATCCCTTTCCTGCCACCACCCTGCAGATAAACACTGCCTGGGCTTCCACAGGGCTGTGCCCAGCACAGCTCCACGGGGAGGCACAGGGACATTGCTGCCACCATGGCCACCCCACAGGCACCAGCAGCTCCCTCCTGGGGAAGCAACGCCAGGTCCTGCAGCATCTCCAGCTGCACCTGCCCAATCACTCTGGGGTGCTTCTGGGAGCTTGTCTGCTGCTGAAGAGCAGATGGACAGTTCCCTTCCAGATGAACAGACATCCAGCCTGCCTGGTACTGCCACCCTGCCTTCAGCAGGGGTGTCCTCCAGTGGGGACCCTGCCATGTCCCCAGGGCTGCCCTGCAACCCCCACCCAGCTGGTGGCCAGCAGAGGATCCTGGCTAAGACACTCACTTGTCCCGCCAGTAATGGTAGCCATGGTGCCCCACGATGTCCTCCACTGCTGCCAGGATGTGGTCAAAGGCCTGGAGTGAGGAGAAGAGTGGTGGTGAGGGGGTGGGTGCCCCGGGGGGTGCTGAGGCCACATGTGGCTCCAGCCCCCAGCACCTACGTGCTCATGGAGCTCCTCGTTCAGCGTGGGCTTGTGGTGGTCGCTGCGCTTCACCTTCAGCCAGGTCACCAGGGGTTTGATGGTCAGGCCCTGGAATGGCAGGAGGAGGCAGGGGAAAGACTGGGAGGGTGAGAGGGTGCATGGCTGGGGCACGGGAGCAGAAGCAGAAAGAAGTGACCAGGGGCAGCAGCTGTGTCGGCCAAACGTGTCCCTCCCAACCCAATCCTTGCACCCAGGACCTGGGTGATGGTCCCGTGTCTCAGCAGGCAGTGACCACTCTGTACCCCACACCCCCCCTGACCCCAGGCTGGTGTCCATCTGCTGTGGCACCCCTTCCTGGGGAGCAGGAACTCCAGAGCCATGGGCCATCAGCAGCTTGTAAGGGAAATGGCCTGGCCAGGTACACTTGGAGACAAGTCTCCAAGACACTCTCTTGGAGACAGTTCCAGAACAAGAGGGAAACAACATGGGCCATGGCCCTGCCACCATGACAGCCACCACAGAGGTCCTGCACGCCAGCCTGGGCATGGATGGAGTGCCAGAAGGCATCCAAGGTGACTTGAAAAGAGGTACTTGCCCCAAGCACGTGTCCTGACCAGCCAGGTGAGCTCTGGGCAAGAGGGCAGCACTGGAGGAGGGCACGGTGTCCTCACCTGCACGATGACGGTGAAGAACACCACCACGATGGTTGTTGCCACAAAGTAGTCCTTGGCTTTCACCTTCGCCCTGTCCAGCAGGATGACCAGGGCGAAGGCCACAGCTCCACGGAGGCCACCATAGGACATGACCACCTGGTCGATCCTGTCCAGGGGGATGAGGCGGAAGCGGTTGAGCACGTAGGTCTGGAGGACAACACCTAGGGAAGGAGGAGGAGAGCCTGGGATGCTGGCAGAGCCTGGCCTGCTCCTGGAGATGGGGCAAAGCCCAGCCCAGCAGCTGTGGCTGCTCCTGTGTCCCAGCTTTTCTCAGGGAATGCCACTTTTTTGGCAGGAAAAGGGTTGGGTGCTCCCAGCCCAGAAGCCCAGTGGGGCAGACTGACCCACAGCTCTGAAGAGCAGGATGAAGACGAGGGTGCCCAGCACCAGGGCTGTGTCCCACGCCCACTTGGAGGTGTCCACGGCCGAGATGCCCAGAAACATGAAGATGATGGTCTCCGAGCTGCTGGCCAGTGTCTTCATGGTGTACTTGACCGTGGTGCGGGACTTCTGGGAGATGTTGGCTTCCACGTACTTCTTGCAGCAGATCCCACAGAAGGTGACACTGGGGAGGGGCAGAAGGAGCCAGCGTGACCCTACGGTAGGACGAGGAGCAGGTCTGCTCACCACCACTTGCTGCTCAGCACGATTTCCTGGACCTTCCCCCCCCCAGGAGACACCCTGGTACTCACGCCAGGATGGAGGAGAGCGAGACCATCTCAGCAGCCAGGTAGGCCACGTAGGCCAGGAGGAAGACGAAGAGGGGCTCGATGATGCGCACGCGCTTGGTGAACCTCGTGGTCAGGGCCAGGAGGAAGGCAAAGAGCAGCCCCACGGCCGTGCCCCCCAGGCTCACCAGGAAGAAGGAGGCTGGTGGGGTGGGGAGAAGACCCGTTGGCAGCGCCCCGCAGGTGAGCCCAGCTCCTGTGCCCCACCTTCCCGGCAGGGCATCCAGTGGTGACAGCCAGTGTGTGACCACTGGGAGGGAGGTGACAGAGCTGTGGTGCTCAGTGATGCTCAGGTCCACCCCATGGAACAGCAGCACCCGTGCTTGCCCCGGTGCAGTCCCACCCTGGAGGGGTGGAGGGTCTGGTGGGCACGTACTCACCTACCCCCTTCAAGTAGTCCGTGGCGTGGACGTGTGCTGGGCCCAGCTCCACAAAGGAGTTGAAGACCTTGTAGAGCACCTGCAGGCAAGGCAAATCCCTTGGGGAGGGGCAGCACCCACGGGCAGGATGGACCCCACAGAAGAGGGTCCAACTCTGCCAGGTGACACAGCTCATCTCAGCAAAGTCCCCCCAGGGCCGAGGAGAGAGGAGCCATGGTGTGGGTCTGCTGCTGGCTTAGGGATGTCACCTGCACCTTCTGCCCACCCTGGGGGATTCCAGTGCCCTGGCCCACGTTGGGCTCTGCTTTTGTGTCCCCCAAGCTCCGACTCACCACGGTGACTGCATCATTCAGGAGGGACTCGCCAAACACGATGATGAAGAGGGTCTCATTCACGTGGACCTCTTCGAAGACGGCCAGCACTGCCACGGGGTCCACAGCTGAGATGAGGCTGCCGAAGAGCAGGAAATCCATCAGCCCAGCTTCAACGCCTGGATCTGCTGGGACAGAAGGAACCAAGCTCAGGCAGATCATCTGCCCCACAGCCCCTCTCACCAGGCTGAGACACCCGATGGCCGCAGCATCTCAACTTGGGGTGCAGTGGGCTTAGCCTGGGAGTGTTCTCAGACCTCCTGGAGCCCCCCAGGAGAAGCAGGGCTCCCTGCAGCATGAGGGGAGCAGGGTTTGGATGTCCTCCTGGGCACCCAGGTGCATCACTGCTCCTCAGGCAGGTATGGAGGCTCAGCAGCCCCACCTGAGGTCCAGGCATCAAGCCCAGGGGCTCCAGCCGAGGAGAGGGAACCTGGCAGCGAGGAGAGGGAACCTGGCAGTGAGGACAGGAAGCCAGCAGCACTAGCCAAGGTCGGTGACAAAAATAGCAGAGACATGAGTCAGCCCAGTGCTGAGCAGGGTTTGTCCTGCACGCTTGACAGTCCTGCTGGAGCACCATCCCCAGGACACCAGGACTTCTCCTTCCTAGGAATCCACGGCGGGGCTGGGCAGCGGGATATGAATTTGGGGGGGGTTGCTTTGCACCCTCCAACCCATCTTTTGGGCTGCCCGAGCTTGGCAGCCCTGTGCACCCACCCATGAGCCCGGCCCGGTGCAGCCCCCAGAGCGCAGTGCCGGTGGTGAAGGAGTTCCAGAGCGTGCCCACCACGGCGTAGGTGAGGATGGCGCCGATGTTGTCGAAGAACAACCTGCTGGGCATGAAGTAGCCCGAGTCCAGGACGATGGGGGGCAGGAGGAAGAGGAAGAACATGTTGGGCTCCAGTTGGTACTCAGCTTTCTTGGCCACGGCCAACACGATGCCCCCCAGGCCCAGCCCCAGCAGGATGAGGAGGCAGCTCTCCGGGACGATGGACGTCACCTTCCTCGACAGGTGGAAAACTAGGAGGAAAGGAAGGATGGGAACATCGGGCAGGTGGACAGAGCATTGCAGATCCACACGCCCCATGGGAGGGCTGGATGATGCATGACAGACCCCAGGGTTGACAAGGGGGCACCTAAGGTTGCTTCGTGGCTATGTGTGCAGAGAAGACTTTCCAGCTAGCTCCCAGGTCAGGCTTTCAGGTCCCCAAACTCTTTGGCATCTCCTTCCCCTCCCCAGCCACTGCCCAATGCACCAGGCAGCTGCTGGTTTCCTTTTCTGGGCTCTGGCAAAAGCAGCCAGTGAGCACGTTCATGGTGTCACCAGCAACACCACTGCTGTTGGAGCAAAGATGTCACCACGACATGCTACCCGACTAGATATGAGGATGCTCAGCCCTGGTGAGAGGGTGACCTTGTTTGCAGCCATCTGAGTGAGCAGATGGAGCAGGACACAAACCACTGCAGCACAACCCTCCACAGAGCCCACTGACCCACCCGTGTGCAAACACCAGGACAGCAGGAGCTGCAGCTCTAGGGATACTTTGAATAATCAAGTTATTCCACCTGAGGTTTGGACCACATTTCAACTGCTGTGGAACAGGATGGGCTTTTTAAAGCATGGCCTGGTGTCCATCCATCAGCAAGGGGGCAATGAGCCTGCAGCTCGGGCACCAGGCACTGGGATGTCACAGCAGCCAGCACAGGGGACTCACTCCTCCAGGCAGCCTTGTCCACAGGGTGTTTGTCCCCTCATCGTTCTGCCATCACTTGTGACATCCGGCCCAGCTCTGGAGCACGACTTGGCCATCAGATGGAGAAACCTTCTCCTGGGGAGCAGGTCCCTCCAGGCACTTCCAGAGCCACCTCTGTCCTTGGGCACCCAGCAGGTACAAGGGACACCAGAGCAGCCTCTGAGCTGTCACTTGGCTGCAAACCCAGTCCTGCTGCCAACCCAACACCTGGCCCCTGAAGCCCTTGAGCTGGACTAAAGGTGTCCATTGCATGTGGCAAGTCATCCCAGCAGATGCAGGTGCCCAGCATCTCCATCCCCATCAGCTGAAGTCCTGGAGAGAGTCCAGCCCAGGGCACTGAGATGCTGGGGGAACTGGAGCATCTGCCTGTGAGGAAAGGCTGGGAGAGCTGGGGCTGCTCAGCTGGAGAGGAGGAGCCTGAGGGGGGATCTGATCAGTGCTGGTCAATATCTGCAGGGGGTGTCAGGAGGATGGGCCAGACTCTTCTCAGGGGTGTCCAGTGACAGGACAAGGGGCAATGGGCACAAACTGGAGCACAGGAGGGACAAGTTAAACATCAGGAGAAACTTCTTTTCCCAGAGCCCTGGGACAGTTTGCCCAGGGAGGTGGTGGAGTCTCCACCCCTGGAGACATCCCAGCCCCCCCGGACGTGTTCCTGTGGGATGTGCTGTAGGTGGTCCTGCCCTAGCAGGGAGGTTGCACTAGATGATCTCCAGTGGTCCCTCCCAACCCTGACCACCCTGTGCTCCTCTGACCCCCCCTCACCCCCAGCCCCCTCCTCCCACTGCCGGGAGCCGCGATCCAACGCGGGGAGAAACCAGCGACACACACACGGAGCCTGCAGCCCCCTGAGCAAATCCACAGCCCTGGGAAGGGTTGGCCGAGCTCCAGCCCTGCCAAATTCCTGCCCAATTCCTCCCAAACCCCCGCAGCAGCCTCGGCAGAGCCCTGCTCACCCCCTGCCAGCCCCACGGAGGCAGCTCCGGTGGGCGACGGGCGCTCGAAGCCGCTTCCCCGCCCACGGGAACTGAGCTCTGAAGTTTTCAAGAAGGGAACGAGGCGTCCAGCCCCTTTTCTGCATGCTCGGGAGCATTGCCAAGATCCCTGTTCCAGCAACCCATCTGCACTCCCCGTGCTGTGGAGATAGATAGGCCCTGGCTGGCTCGAGACACCCAGGAGAGCCCGCAGAGATGCTACGGGGACGTGGATCCTGGATGTCACCCACCCTTCCTTCCCCTGAGCCAAAAACCTTGGGGAAAAAAAAAAAAAAGGGAGCAGCATTGATGGGAAAGACCCTGGGTTTCCAAAAATGCCCTGGCTGAGATGGGGGTTTTGCCACCCTCCTCATCCAATGACCACCCAGCAGCTCCTCTGCACCACGGGGAGCAGCCAGCAGGGACAGGGGGGAAGGAGCTGCCATTTCACACGTGCTGGAGTCAAGAATTTCAGCATTAAAGGTTCCCACAGCAACGGTAACTTAGCCACATGTGAATTAACTTCAGAACCATAATCCACACTCAGGCATCCATAAAAGGGGATTTGCCATGGGAAGAACTCGGGGCCCAACCTGCTCCACTCCTCCAGTGCTCAGGAAACACCAAAACCAAGGCACGAGCACCTAAAGACAGAGGTGACAGTGCAAGGAGAGAAGGTTGTGCCCCATGGGGATGCTGCTGGGTATAAAAACATCCACCTGCTGGGAAACCCCTGCCCGTGGGACAACCCTGGGTAAGAAGCAGGTTTGGGGCAATGCTCCTGCTGGTCCTTCATCTCTCTTCTCCCATCCAAGCAGATCTGTGCTCTGGCCAAGCACAGAAAAGGCAGCAGAGCCCAGATGATGCCTGGCTGTGCAGGAAGGCAACACCCAGGCCAGTTCTTCCCCACCCCGGGTGTTTATTGGCTCGAGGCATCGTGACAGCCTGGGAGAACAGAGCCCACAGTGTCACTTCCCTGTCACCCGGGCGTGGGGCCACTTCCTCCCCTGCAGTCACAGGGCTGTGAGCTGGCAGCCCCACAGCTGCTGCTCTGCAGCCCCCGCTGCTCCCAGGCATCCTCCAGCCCCACCTCCAGCTCCTCTGTGGGCTCCTGGGTGCCCTGGGGACCACAGGCATGGGGGTTGTGCCTCCCAGATGGAGAGAGGGACAGTGGCCATCAGGTTGCCTCAGGCCTGGAAGAGTGTGGTGGGGCTGTGGGGCTGGGACAATCCCAGTTCAGACCCCCATGGCACCCACCAGCTGCACTGGGACAGAGGGGAATGCACCAAGGGAAACCCACGGAGGGAAGATGCTTGAGAGAAGACAGTGAGAGCCAGGGAAAGGAATCATCTCTCTTGATCTTCTGCAGGGAGGAGGGACATGCTTGGCAGCTGGAGGTGGCACCGCTGCAGGGAGCAGGTTCTACTTTTAAGCTTATGCTGCTCATTAATTCACTCCTCGCGATGCTTTAGGGCTCCCTGGTGAGCAGGCCCAGGGAGGAGAGGAACGTCAGGTCCACGGCAGTGGGGTGGAGGACACTTGGGACCAGCAGAGGCCAGCTGGTGGCCACAGCTGTAGCTGTCCCCCTGGGCACTGGGAGCTGGTCCCCAGCTGCTTGGAGACTCCCAGATTCCCCTGCCTAACCCTGACCCCATGTTTCCTGACCTGGCTCCAAACTAAGAGGGTGTCTGTACCCACCCCCCTAAGAGGGCTGTGCCCCCAGCCAGGCCCCCCAGGAGGTAAAAACCAGCCTCAAGGTCATGGTCTCATCTCCAGCACAGCAGGCAGAGACACAGCAGGGGACCAGCCCCTGGGGACCCTGCTCAGCAGAGGTGCAGG